AATGCTCGAAAGTCCTGTTTGAGAGTTACGTTGAAATGAAGTAGAGCCAAATGAAGTAATAAGAGAAATCAGTGTTCGGCATTTCCTTTGGCTGCTCAACTTACTGAGCAACATTGGTAGAGAGGCATCCTGATATGTTCGGAGATTCCGTTGAATACCCGGCACCCCAATTATAAGATTCATAGTAGGCGAACTGACTAATTGATTGCCATTTCCAAAGTAAAGCATACCCAAGGAATGTCTCCGAAATAGTCAACTTACCCCACAGAGGCCCTGAGTAATCTTGAAGCTACAGTTAAATGAAAATGATAACTCTCTGATTGGTCGTGGTGGCGGATCATACAGAAACAATTCCTATTCACAGGGCATAGAAGTAGCTGTGCCATTATGGGTCTCCCGCATGGAATTATCCGAGTTCCTCAAATATCGAAGATGAGAAGATTCATAAATAAACAAGAGACTTGAAAAAACCATCCAAAAATCAATTAAACGGGATGTTCGGATCTAATGAACAACTTGTTTATGGTTAACTAAATAAATGGCTCCTCTCTGGGAGGGCGAAGTGAAAATGCAACAGGAGAAATTCCCATTCTAGATGTTTCTATATTCCTATCTCCCACTAAAAAACTAGTTTTGGCCACGCCCCAGACGTCGACCACGCCCCCATGTGTGCTTGTACCGCTGGGCAGTTTTTTACCATGTACCATATGAAGCTCATAAATTATTATATTCAGTGGCATTTGCCACTCACTATATGATATAATGAAATTGATAATGTCCCATCTCCTTTTTTTNTTTTTTTGTAAATTTATACAAATGTCAATATTTAGCAGCAAAAGGAACTATTTAGGGTACAATCAAGTAAAAATAAGAGATGAGTGAAAATGAGTTTAGATATTTTAAATACACATGTCACCATGTCAACGGCAGCACCGGATTGACGATGACATCTCTGCAGGCAATTACAAATCTACGGATTCTCAATAATATCCCCTACGATCATATGAGTCAACGACTAGAAATGAACTCTCCCGAAACGTCCATAGGTGCTTTTTCAACGACTAGGTCAAATACGGAAATGTAAAAGATGACATATTCGAAAAAAAAAATAGAAGAAAAACCTATTTACACAACTCGGTCAAAGGAAATTAAGTACAATTTCCGAAGATTGTCTTCCAAGAACGGAAACACGTAACACGGGGTCATAATGGCTTTCA